TATCCGATGAAATTTGCCCACGACTCGGAACCTTAACCCGAAGCATAATGTAGAAGCCTTAATAATCAGAATAGGGCTTTGGGGCATATTATACCACAACAATATATTCAGGAACCCCAATTAAAATGGTATAGGTAATTATCGAGACTCCTACAGTAGGGATTGTGAGGCCTAGGAAAAAGCTTGAGGCCTGCAAGCAAGGATCTACAGCCCAGAACCTAACTCTAAACCCTAAACCCTAAACCCTAAACCCTGAAGCCTAAACCCTAAACACTAAACCCTAAACCCTAAACCCTAAACCCTAAACCCTGAACCCTAAACCCTAAACCCTGAACCCTGAATAGGGTTTAGGGTTTTGGGGTTTACGGAATTCCCCAGAGAACCCAATACACCTTAATTTGAGGAATATACCTTAAATTATAGGGGCCTTAATATTATCATTTAGGGTATATTCCTTAATTAAGGGGTATTGGGTTCTCTGGGTCTAGGATTCTAGGACTCTACACCCTGAACCCTAAATACCCTCAGCCCGAACCCCATTCCCCCTCGTAGAATCATAGAAGCCCTTTGATACGCTTACCCTAAACCCTAAACCCTTGCAAAACGCTTTTACACCCGGAGCCTCAAACTCCCAAAATCCTAAACCCGACCTGGGTAGTTCTCTAAATTAGGGTCCCTTTTTAAGTCCCCAATACAGTACGGCACCCTTATAAACAGAACCCTAAAAAGGGGCCCTAGTTTAGAGAACCACCCGACCTGTTTGTAGAAGGAGGCAATACCCTTGTCGGATTAGCCCTAACCCCCCAGGCCTGGAGGGTTAGGGTAGGGCTTAGGGATTAGGGCTTACCATTTCACGCAGCCACAGAAAGCGTAAGCATTTCAGCGGCCGCGGTGCAGCAAGGATTGACCGGGTAAGCAGCCTCGCAGCAGCCAGCACTCACATACAAACATGGTAATTCAGATTTGTTGGTCCGGTGGTTTAAGGTTTAGGTTGGGTTTTAAGCCTTCGTCACCCTAAGGGTCCATGTACCCAAATAGCAGATACATTGACCCCAAAGTGCCTATTAGGTAGGGACTACTTTAAGGCTAAAGTCTATACTATTTGGGTACATGGACCCTGAGGGAAAGAAGTTTGTCTACCAGGATCCTGATGCTGAGGTGGCCAATGCCCCCACAATCGTAGTGTGTACTTCGGCGTCTTACCAGACCCTAAACCCTACTACCCTAAACCCTACAGTAGAAGCCCAAAAGTTGGAAACCCAATAGCCTCAATCCTTAAGACTAATTGACTAATCTATATGGAATCCCAGCACTGATAGTCGTTAATCCGGTTTCCAACTTTTGGGGAGGGGTTACTATGGTTGATGATACAATTCCTGCATCTCCCAGAGTAAAGAATATACCATAATTCCCATAGTTTAGGGTCCTCAAGGTAGTGCAGGATTTATATCAACAACAGCATAAACCCTAAACTTCTAAACCCTAAACCCTGCACCCTACAAGCTTCGAGCTCAAGCCTCTCTGTAAACTCTGAGCCCAGCTGTGAGCTGCGCAGAACCGCAAGGAAGCAAGTGTCGCTTAGCACTGACCCCAGTATCACCTTATAGTCTGGGATTTAGGCTTCAGGCTTTGGGGTTTCGGGTTTGCCGTTTAGCGTTTTCGTCTCATTTACGATTTTGGGCTCTTCGGGGAGCGGAAACCCAGAACTTCACAAGAACCCTAAACCCTAAACCCTAAACCCTAAACCCTAAACCCTAAACCCTCATCTCCTACTGGGCGGCCTTAGAAGTAAGAAGGCAGTTTCCGCTGTTGGGCAATGTAGGGTTTAGGGTTTTAGTGTTTAGTGTTTGGGGTTTAGGGTTTCGGCTTTGGGTAATGCTACAGTATAGCAATGATAAGGAACCCTGAGGAGTATTAGTGAGTTACAACATTGGCCATGGTGCGCTGATTGGGTTTTAGTGTTGAGCCCCCCCGCAAAACGTAATTCATGATAACTCCCAAACCCTACACTCTAAACCACATATATAACCCTACGAACAAAAATAAGCAAAGTAAGTTGAGGGGGCACGACTTTGTCAGCCCCACTCACATTCTTCGATTCGAGTGCAACTAGGTAACGCCGTTCCAAGGACTCCAAGAATAGAGTTTTCAAAATGTGATATGGGTTAAATCTACACCCGAAACCCTAGACCCATGCCCAAAGCCATAAACCTGAAATGCGGAAAAAACCCAAAAATCGTGGACCCCAAACACCCTGAAAGGCCGTAGGCTTTAAACCTAACCGCAACTACCCCAAAATCTGCCCCACAATCTTAAACCCTAAACATTACTAGACCTTGCTAAACCTTTACTAAACCCCAAACCCCTGAACCCTTAAACCCTATAAACCCTAGGGGCAAGAGGCCTTCTACGGATTCGGCGTGCAGGTATCCCCCGTGGTCCCGGTGATGCCGGCATCTCCCGCGCAGGAAGTAGCAGCAGTGCCTGGGCTTGGGTTTGGGCTTTGGGGCTTTGGGGCTAGGGCTTGGGGCGGAGGGCTTAGGGTTTAGATCGTAGGGTCAGGTCTTAGGGGTGTCTAGGGTTTAGGGGTTAGGGATTAAAACTGCCACCTGAGCTCCTGACAAGAAACCCGCTCAACACGAAACCTTAAGTTCATAACTGTCAACTCTGAAACCCAAATCCTAAACCTTGCAACCTCGAAGCCCAAAACTCAGACTCGAAATCCTGGGTTAAAAGGGCTTTGGAGGATTTCATAACAGGTGTAAACAGATCTGTACCCTAAACCCTAAACCCTAAACCCCTAAACCCTAAACCTTGTTGCAAGATTTAATGTGGGCTGTACGGTCTGTGTTTAGGAGGCCATGACACCGTGTAGGAGGGTTTAGGGTTTAGGGTTTAGGGTATAGAGTTTAGGGTTTAGGGTTGAGGGTTTAGGGTTTGGGGTTTAGGGCCTAGGGCTCGGTAATTGGGCAGCTAAATGCTTTTTGTTGGCCGCTCCGCGCATTTCCCAAGAAGGCGCCCTGCACTCACAGCAACACAAAAGAGCGCACCCGTGCACCCACAGCAAAACACAAATCGTGCCCTGCACGTGCAGAAAAATACAGACACGCATCCGCACCCGCAGCACAAAGAAAAGGCGCCTCGCCCCCGGCACATGCAGCAAAAAGCACCTGCGACAAGAAAACGCACACGGGCAAAGGCTGTGGCACGTCCTTTGTTTTGCTGCCGGCCACAGCGGAGCACCAACAACAGAAAAGCACCCACAAAAAAAGTCAAACACACACATACACCAGTGTTCTGTATAAGGCCGAAGGCGGCGGTCCGTATAGTTTAAGGCTTAAGGCTCAGGGTCGCAACAAAAAGGTTCTCGGGCCCAAAGCAACACGTAAACACACGCATCTTACCTTTCCTTTACAGCCCGCTAGAAAACTTAGTTCTGAAAAATGTGGGTAGTTCTCTAAACTAGGGTCCCATTTTTAGGTCCCCAATATAGTACGGCACCCTTATCAAAAGGACCCTAAAAGGGACCGCAATTTAGAGAACTACCCATGTGTTGTGCCCCTAAACCCTAAACCCTAAACCCTAAACCCTAAACCGTGTCTTTGCCTGGTCCAACATGCAACAGCCTCAAGGCTTGGAGCGTGTTTAGCCCCGAACCCTCGGTTTAGGGTCTGGGTTTAGGGTTTNNACCCCAAACCCCTGAACCCTTAAACCACCCCTGTAATAAGAAAGCTCGAAAACACTCCCTCAACCCAAAACCCCACCCTCGACCGTAAACCCTAAGCCCTAAACCCTCAACCCTAAACCCTAAACCCTACAAAAACCCTAAACCTAAACCTAAACCTCACCCCAAAACCCCACCCTGGACCCGTTAAAGCAAAGCCTTGTCAGGGTTCTTTCTACCGATCTTCGTTACATTCCTTGGGGTTTGATTTAGGGTTTAGGGTAGATTCCTTGGGGTTTCAAGTAATTTAACCCGAAATAACTTCTTAATAAGCCCCATAAGCCCTCAAAGCAGTAACTTCCTTGGGGTTTCAACTAGTTAAACCCGAAATAAAAAGGCGAAGCCCAAGCCCTAAACCCTAAACTCTGAGCCAAAACCTGCTTTAGGGAGAGGCACCTGAGAAGCATGCAAAGAGCCGGTGGCGCTCTGCTGCCTGGCTTTGCGCTCGCTTGTCCTGCGCTGGAGATGGTCTATGTTCCAGAGATTTCCGGTTCAGGGTTTAGGGTTTAGGGTTCAGGGTTTAGGGTTTAGGGTTCAGGGTTTAGGGTTTAGGGTTCAGGGTTTAGGGTTTAGGGCTTTAGGTCTTGGTTTCAAATAACTCCTACTTATTTGGCAACATCCGCAGGGTTGGGGGGCCCCAGTTTTTTGGGAATAGCAGTGGCATAGGGGTTGGAATTCCCAACCCTTCCGCAACATTTGCCCCCTTTTTTTAATTTCTACCTACCATAAGACACACTCTCATTTAGTCTACTTATGTCCTTGTTGGGTAACCTTTTCCAACTCCATACGGTGCAGTGTGCGCCGTTTCGGCATCTGCGGCATACATCACCAGGATTAAAGTTTCGTCACACTTGGCTGTACTTGCAAGTGCATTTTACGTGGCCTGGCTAGCGGAGGAATTAATCCACAGGATTAAAATTATACTACTATAATGTTCCGGACGGAGGACTGCGTGGAGGAGTCTGCAGGGAGAAGGGGCTTGTGTCCTGTTCAAGAGCGCCATACAGAGTGCGACGAACTTTCGTCCTACCGCAGTATATGTGTAGAAACGCATGTATTGCCCAGAGAACCCAATACACCTTAATTAAGGAATTAAAGGGGCCTTAATATCCTGATTTAAGGTATATTCCTGAATTAAGGGGTATTGGGCTCTCTGGTTGCATGTGCACAATATACAAACTCTACGTATCTGATCGTTCAGGGCTTGGGGGAAACTAAATCACCCTGCCTCCAGTTTCGCGGAGCTCTTTCTTTCGCGGATGGCGGAAGGCTCCTCTTGGTTAGCAGGCTTTGAGAGACTTGCTGCTGGAGGGGGTGGCTCCGACTCTTGTACGTAGCACAAGGCATTATGAGGGGTGCTCCGGTGCCCTGGGGTCCTGGCAGGGTTTTCAAGTAGAGGGTTTAGGGCGAGATTTGGGTTCTAGAGGTTACGGCCTCAAGACTCACGTTTCAAGGTTCAAGGTTGTGGGACTGAAAGCCCACGCAATATAAGGGGCTTCTTTTATTTGAGCTTGAGGGATTTGGGCATTTAGGGGGGTTTAACTACGTAAGAAAGCATTTACCTTGAACTTAAGGTCATGTCCGCTTGAAGAGATAAGCGGGTTACTATGGAGCACACCGGAAAGCCGACTTCCCCGAGACTCCCCAGACACTAAACCCTTGTACAACCTCATTGTTTGGTTTTGGTTTAGGGATTTAAGGTCTAGGGTTGAGTGTTTAAGCCCTTATGGCGCTGACTTTAGTAACTTAAGCCCTAAACCTAAACCCTAATTACTTTACCCTAACCCCCCAGGTACCTACTATATAGGGTACTAGAGCCCCTAGGGCCCCACATAGTAGGTACCTGGAGGGTTAGGGTTAGTCTTCAGCTGAAGTGCTCGGCCGCGGCAGCAGCGGCAGAAGACATTTTCCAAGCAATAGGCCAACAGCGCTGCCTGTGGAGGACAGTGGGGTGTAACGGTTTAGTGCTTAGGGTTTAGTGGGCTTGCAGACGCAAGGGTCCAGCATTGAGGTTCTAGGCTTTACTGTTTCGGATTTCGGGTTCTCAAGGCGGATACAAGTCTAAGCAGGCTTTGTTCCAACCCTCTATTACAGGCTCCCACTACGGTATGGGTTTAGGACTGACGATTAAAGGCTTTAAAGTTTTTTGGTTCAGGGTTTCAGTTTCCTGCATGTTTCTGAAGTGTTCATAACTCGCTTATCATGTGTTTGGTGTCGAAGAGATGCGACAAACAACAGGAACCATCTCACGACAGGAATCGAAACGCAGGACTCGAATATAACCCTAAGCCCCAAGCCCCATAAACCTACCTATCTACCAAACTGTCGGTAAGGTTCCTGCGATTCCCCTTGTAGTACTGTTTGCACTGGAAAGCCCTAATCTCATTCTCACTAAGAGCCCTACAGTAGACCCTCCGCCGCGAAAAGCCTACACCCTATTTGGGGCACCTAAAAAGGGACCATAATCACCCCAAGCCCTAAACCCTAAACCCGTAATCTAGAGAACTACCCACATGACTGGCCGAGGGGCTAAGTGGCAGATCGCGTCCATGATGAACCGGACCTGAGCGGTCTCTTTGAGGGGAGCCCCTAAACCCTAAACCCGAAACCCTACAGCAAATCCCAGAAAGCTGGAACATAGCTGTAGGAGGATTAGTGCTAGGATCCCTTATGCTTTACCTTAAGGGCATGAGGACATTAATGTTCGGACTTTCTGGCTTCTACTGTAAAGGAAATGAGGGCCTCTACTACCCTCACCGCCCTTGTGATGGAACCCATGGTTCTTCATACAACCCTCAAGCCGTGTGAGTTTTTAGGGTTTAGGGGTTTACTAACAAATCTAGGGTCCTCTAAAATCTTGTGACCCTAAGCCCGCAAATCCTCAAAACGAAACCCTCCGCCCCGAACCCAAGCAGGAACTTGTTGGTCACTTGCAGAGCAAGACCCAAGTACTGGACCATTAAAGCAACTCGGGGTTTAGGGTTAGGGGTCTGCAGAAATCCAAACTTAAAATCGTACTGAACCCAAAGCCCTTGTTCAGCCCCATATTCAAGCACCCGCCCGTTTATTTTGAACAGGTAACCATCAAAACCAGGCATTTGGGGTATTGTATACTAAGACTATTCGGTCCTATAGCCCATATAGAAGTTGGCACCTGAGTATGCTAAGCCAAAAAAGGCTAACCTACTCAGCTACAAAGTAAGACTTCTTGAACCTTTATGGTAGCCGTTAGTGCATGCCTCTTTTAGACCCCTAAACCCTAAACCCTAAACCCTAAACACCCTGACTGCCAGGATCCAGGAATTCCCAGCTGCCAATCCAGAAGTCGCAGACAAGATCGTCTGCGTTGCTTGCCTCTGCAACGTCGCTCTACCCGGCCTAAACCCTAAACCCTAAACCCTAAACCCTAAACCCTAAACCCTAAACCGTAACCTACCCATAGGCCCTAAAGTAGTTCGAAGGAACCCAGGAACCCGAAACCCCCAAACGACGCATCCCACAGGTCATACCCACCTTGACTGGGGATATTCCCTGCAAACCATCTGCGGCTTCCCTAAACTGAAAACCATAGAACCCTAAACCCTAAACTCTAAACCCTAAACCCTAAACCCTTCGCCCCAATTGTATCACGGTCCATTCCATATTTCCGGAGCCTACACGGCTCTGCAAAAAGGACCGATGCGACTGAAAGGCTCTGAAGATGCAGATGGGTAGTTCTCTAAATTAGGGTTCCTCTTAGGGTCCTTTTTATAAGGGTGCTGTATTTTTTCGGGGACCTAAAAAGGGACCCTAATTTAGAAAACTACCCATATAACATTGCATGTAACAGAAGGTGCCTTCATACTGGAACTACTTGCTTTCGGGGGTATGCTACAGCAGTATAGAAGGACCATGAGGAGACATGACAACAATCTTCCGACCCTGTTTTTAGCATGCCTCAGCCAAGTTTCAAGGTCTCTTGGGTCTGGGCTTAAAGTCTTCGATGGGGTTTTGGGGGCTGGGGGCTGACTTTTTTTTGGCATTCAGGGATGTATGACCCTAAACCCTAAACCCTAAGCCGTTTCCGGCTCACATGGACTTAGGACTCGGGGTTCGGGTAGTTTCGGGTGTAGAGTTTAGCTTACAAGGGCTCTATTCGGCCTTCGTGATGACTTTTGGTTAGGTGCGTAAGGATCGATTCGGGCGAAGGCTTATGACGATTTAGTGGCATGTTGGGCGGTAGCCCATAAAAGTGCTTCGCTGCCCTGACAGCAAAAATCGCCGCCGTTTCCCACTGCATCGCACGAAGTTTGTCCTGATGCCACGCTTCACGCCTGGAGCCCGCAACACGGCGAGCACGACAAGCGTTGGCCTTCTCGTTGAGTTCACAACACGTGCCCGCTAAGAAGCCTTCAGGTGCAATCCAAGACAGCTGCCTGTTGTGCGAAGGGACCCAGTGCACGGAAACGGGATCGAACTCACTTGCCATTGGTGAGATCTTCCGCGCGAGTGTTCTCCTCCCTCGGACGCCAAGTCAGATCAAGCTTGAGGAAGCCCTTATCAAGTGGTGAGAGAGCTGCATGTTGATCAACATCAAGGGCCACTTGGTTGTACTTTGCTTCTTCGCGAGTGACTGGTTGCTGAGGTTGTCGGTCACACCCAAAAAACCAGCCAGTATCCTAAAGGGCAAACAACTGAGGTTAACCAAAGCCCTGGCTACGAAACCCCTACACCTTACAAAAACACGAACCCGAAACGAGATGCACCCGTGAACAAAGCAAAGCCGGAGGGTCACCGAACCCTTTATCATTGGATGCTTGGAGGTTCATGGGTAGTTATAAGTAGGGTTATAAATCCCCTAATATGGTTTTTATTTAGTTACCCTACTTATCACCCCACTTATGACTACCCATGAACCTACTAGTGCTTCTACAGAGCCGGGCTACCGTGGAAACATCATCAAAGCCACTAAGTTGTATTAAGTTGTACACTTACCAATATGAAGAACTCCAGCGATAGTGTTCCTAATTTGCTAGAATAATATATGCACATTATTTACATTTATAGATATACTGCAATTACAAAACGGTCTTGCGGCAAACCCTAGACCCAGTGTTGCTCTGGACTTTGAAGTAACCAGGGAGAAAAAAGTAGAGACTTTCAACTCTTAGGGTTTAGGGTTTAGGGTTTAGGGTTTAGGGTTCTTCCTAGAAGGAACAGGTCCCCAACAAAAGCAGTCAAATATGCTACTCCAGACAGCCGTAAAATTTTTAAACCCGAAGCCCTACCCAGAATCACTCAGGCCTCCCTCAGCACACCTTATACCGACAAGCCGTGGCCAAAACGCCCTTCAGCAACCCTTGACCCTAAGCCCCTAAACCTCTAAGGTTGAACCCATGGGCCCCTAGTATGGGCCCCTTAACCCTGGGATCCTTATATACCTACTATATACCCTACATGTACCCTTACGGGTCCCTAGAAAGACTTAAGGGTCCATACCAGGGCCATACTTCTAACCTTAGATAAACCCTCATAAACTTATGGATCTCTTATACTACCCTTACAGGGGCCCGTCTACGGTTGATGATATAAATCCTGCATTCCCCATGATGCGGAATATACCATAATGATTCCCATAGCTCAGGGTTCTTAAGGGCATGCAGGATTTTATATCATCAACTGTGGTAGGCCTAAGAGGAACCCTACACCTCCTTGGACCCATAATATAGGGGCTTTCATAATTAGAATAAGGTTTAGGGGCCCATTCTACTATAATTATAATAAGGAACCCCCAAATACTATAGGCAATGAGTTAGGCCCCTAAAGCCTAAACCCTCATAGTAGAACCCTTCCAAGGAATGGTATAGGTAATCATTTATGCCCCCAAAATTACCCTCCTCTGCAACTTGCCTGCCCAGCAGACTTGCAAGCACGCTCTCCACTAAGGTCAGGATAAGCCTGGGTTAAGGGTTTAGGGTTTAGGCTTTAGAGTTTAGGGGTTTAGGGGTTTGGGGGTTTAGGGTTTAGGGCTTGGGGCGTAGACCCACCCACCATGTCGTTCTTGCTGTTGCATGTAAAATCTCTCACGAAAAGATAAACTGTAGGACCGGTTGATAGTTGCAACAGTCTGTACGTGGGTTGTACGATCGTTCTACAATAAAGGGACAAACAAACGTAAGTCTAGGGCATATAGCTTTGCTTGTTCATTCCTCAAACTATACCTAAACCCTAAACCCTGAACCCCAAACCCCAAACCCAAAACCCAAAGCCCTAAACCCTAAACCCCTATAAGCCGCCCTAAAACTATAGAGTTAACTCCTTTGTTGGAGGCCGTCCTTGCTTTAGGATTCTTACCAAAGAACTGGTCGACGAAGACAGCAACCAGATTGGAGAGCTTTGGGGTTTGGCAAACCCCAAATCCCTACATCCCTACATTCTGGAGCCTAGCCCCTGAAACCCTAAACCCTGAACCTAACCTGAAACCCCAAAAGCCCTGAGTCCATACATCCTACACCGCACTGATCGCTTCTTGGTAAATGCAGGTGTCTTTGCCCAATGAGAAATGTTGGCTTAAGGAATACCCAGAGAACCCAATACCCCTTAATCAAGGAATATACCTTAAATCATAATATTAAGACCCCTGTAATTTAAGCAATATTCCTTAATTAAGGTGTACTGGGTTCTAGACGGGCTATGTTTGTTTGTGTTAAGGACTTACCTTTAAGTTATCATCATAAGGAAACCCCGATATATACTTTAGATCCCTATTATTAATTATTGTAACTTAGAAGAATAAGTTCCTTATCAAGAACCCAGCTTAGGGTCATCAGGTTTATGGTAGGTTTAGGGCTTACGCCTAGCATCCAGCGGTTTCTGATTCGAAAACCATGTGGGATTTAAGGGCTTAGGGTTTGAAGTATACGTATGGACTGAGCGGGATATTCATTAATGAGGAACGTAAGTCGCCTGTACTATGTTCCTCCGCGCTTACTTCATACATTATGTAGTAGACCACAGACAGCAGAGGTGACCCGTATACTAAGGCTTCGAGGACTCAAAGTTCAAGGCCTTGGGGCCCCAGACCACACTGCACAAAGCTATTCGGGCCATTACTTATTTGAGATAGGGTTTAGAGTTTAGGCTTAAAGTTAAGGATTTTATTTGAGCCTTAGCGGGTAAACACCAAACTAAAACCTACACCCTGCCAAGCACGGATGCGAATTCAAGCGACATGGGAATCAACGACGAGGTCGTAGCAGATGCCTCCATCGCTTCCTCTGGGCTTAGGGTTTACAAGTTGCTAAGCCAAATGGGGGTTTCCGAAAATAGGGGACCCTAATATAGTGCCCTAAAAAATAGAATCCTTATTATAAGGACCCCAAAATAAGGTACCCCCCTATTTTTGGAAAGTCCCAACTCCCTTCATGAAGGAGCAGACCGTAGATATAAAGTGCGGTAGAGAGCTCAGGAATATAGAACCTTAACCAAGGCATCTTCCTTCGCTTGTAGTGGTGATGCCTAGTTAAATCATAAACCCTATATACCCCGGCTATAAATATGGAGCCCTGCTGTTCAGGGGCATTGGACTGATAACAATCCTTATAAGCAACCAGAACAACACCCGCGTAGAACCATAGTAAACCATCATAGAACCCTTCTTGAAAGAAAAAATATGAACCATTATTGTACCGCAACGGCAATAGAACCCTCGAGTCATGGGGTCCTCGAAGTTGTCGTAATGGATGTCTGGCGCCATAGCACGCGGCCCACAGCCCGCCAGCAAGTATGAGGCAAACCTGGCTAATGTAGGGGCCTCAATAATTAAGGTATGGCTTTGCGGGCTCCATACTACGATTTGAATCCAATATACCCAAACCCTATTCTAATCATTAAGGCCCCTATATTAACAAAACCCTGGACCCGAAGCGCGCCCTCTTAAGCTCCAGCCCAAACCTCTCCCTCTCGGGTTTAGGGTTTGGGATGGTTACCCTAAACCCTAAACCCCAACTGAGACCCCTTCTAGGAAACTTGCAGCTCTTGTCGTGTGACATTCTTACATATATATATATATATATATACATATATATATATATATACCGATATATATACAGATATATATATATATATAGATATAGATATAGATATAGATATAGATATAGATATAGATATAGATATAGGGACAACATGGGAGAGCCTGGTAGCAATTGTTCAGACCGCAACATGGGAGTTTCAGAGAACATGGAGCCCTGGCACAGAGCGGCAACTCCTGGGATCCTGATAATGGGGGCCCCATAAATTGTTCAGGGTTTAGGGTTTCGGGGTCTAAGGTTTAGGGGTTTAGGGCTTGTGGGTTTAGGGCTTAGGGTTTAGGGTTTACGGTTTAGGGTTTTAGGGTTTGGGGATCCTGGTAATAAGGGCCCCAAATACATAAGGTTCAGGGTTTAGGGTCTAGGGNNGGTCTAGGGTTTTGGGGGTTTAGGGCACCCTAGTTTCTGAAACTCCTATGTTGGGTGGACCTCTAGAAGCTAAGTGCCCTAACACTTAGGGCGCAAAGAAGGTCTAAGAAGCTCTATGGTTCAGGATTTGAAACCCTGCAGAAACATATTTGTAACCTAATGAAATTTTCAGCCCTGGCCAGTCTCGTGAATTGGTCCCAAGTCCCAATCTATGAGGGGACATATGAGACATAAGGTAACACAAAGACACGAACTAAGAATGACGGGCTCGGTTGAATTCAGGCCCAAACATCACACCATGTAGGTGACATGGGGGTTTTCTGAAGCCCTAAACCCTAAAC